CCCCTCCCCTCCTCTCTCTCTCATATCTCCGTCTCTTTCTCTCTCTCTCTCTCAGTGGTACTAGGAATTGAACCTAAGGCCATTGCACTAAGCTACACCCCAGCCTCCCTATTTTTATTTTGAATCAGGGTCTTAGTAAGTCACTAAATTGCCCAAGTTAGGCCTGAACTTGTGATCTGTGAGTGCTGGGATTACAAGTGTGTGCCGCCGTACCGGTTCTTTCCATGACTTAATGCCGTATCTCCTTAATCTCCTTTTTCTGTTTCCTTCTCTATCTCTCTCTCCCTGCATTAATAACTCTTGGCGTGAAACCAGACAACCCTGAAGCTCTTTTTATTAAAATACCGTAGGGTATTGGATGACATCTGAGAATAGGAAGTGCTGCTGCTTCTCCGCTCCTGGTCCTGTAGCCTGTAACGTCAGTGGTTCTCCACACAGCTGGATCCTTTGGTTTTCCTTGGCTTCATCAGCACACAGGGCCTCAAGTGACAGCCTTGACCCTCATTCATTTACCTTTCTAATTTCACAGTCCTCTCTGTCATCAGCTCACATTCTCAAGGAGGGGCTGTGACCGAGTTCGTGAGTCAGGTGTCCGGCCTCGGCCCAGTGAGACGTGCTGGGGAGGCTTAGGAATGTGTAGTTCAGACGCGGCAGGGCAGGCCAGGGCCTTGTCTGTCTGTGGTTGGAGAGCGTTGTTGGAGGTGCACCATGTGTCTAGGACAGTCTGCCCTTAGAGTGCACAAACACATCCCCTCCATTTCCCGAAAATCTGTTTGAAAGATGCATCTGTGTAGCATGATTCAGCTACCCTTGTGGCGAATGAAGGCATTTCATTCACATTCCTCTGGCACATCTGCAAGGAAGTGGGTCTCGGTCCCAGTGCTGTGTACTCTCAGACATGCCTGCTGTCCCCGCACGGCCCGCTCACCGGGACACAGCGGTGCAGAGAAAACAGGACAGTTGCCATTAGAGCTTCTGTGTTAAGAGTAACTATACAAAGAAACCAACAGTACTTCCCGCGTGTTCCAGCCCGGGAGGGCAGGGCATAGGGGAGCATAGGCACGTGGAGCTGAAGCCCCACCGGCAGCCGCATGGTGGCTCCTTTCCCTTGTGATCCAAATCTCTGGCTCCCCGCTCAGCTGGACCCAGTTTGAATCTAGCCTCAGTACTTCCTGGCTGTTTGACTTTAGGTGCTGGGAGGGCCAATCTGGCCATCCCCAGTTGCACCCACTGGGAGGATTCCCAGTCCCCACATTGTGAGATACTCCCAGGGGATCCCTGTAAGGGTTCTCCAGGGCTTTGAAGTGTAGCAGTAGGGCAGAGTCCCCCATGGTGTGGATCTGCAGAAGCAGGGGCCTCTTGCCAGGGATGTAGTTCAGTGGCGCTGTGCCTACCCGGTAAGTGCAAGGTCCTGAGTTATCCCCAAGGTACTGCAAAAAAAAAAAAAAAAAAAAGGCAGAGGCCTCTCATCTCCAAGCCTAGCGTCTTTCTGGCATTATAAGTCCTCCCTGACTATTCTTAAAGACATTTCCATCGTTTGTCTTTCTGGGGACTCCTGGGACCAGAAGGCAACCCCAGAGCACCAGTTGGCACGTGCAACTCTTCCAGGACCTCTGCCTCCTAGGGTCATGTGCCTGAAGGGCCTGGGAAGCTCGCAAGATTAGTTACTGGCCAGGAAGGAGGCAGGAGGGTGTGGTGGGGGCACAGCCTGCCCACAGGGGCCACATAGCACAAAGTTGATAGTGCTTGTGAAATCTGAGGGGACTTTTGCCAGATCATCTGACTTCTGTGAAATCTAGCTTGAAAGTATTGACTTGGATTTTTTTTTTTTTTGGAGACAAAAATCTCGCTATGTAGCCCCAGCTGGCTTCGAACTCGCAGTGATCCTCCTTGCCTCAGTCTCCCAAGTGCTAGGATTACAGGCCTGTGCCACCATGCTGGCTTCCTTTTTTTATTATTATTACTATTATTTTATTTTTTTATCATTGAGTTTATTGGTATTTTTAAGGTATATAGTACAGTTACATTCATTATTGGGATCTTGTACCTTTACATGACAGGACTTGGTGGCTTCCTATTTTTTTAAAGATAGGGTCTTGTTCTGTAATCCAGGCTGGCCTTGAATGTGCAGTCCTCTTGCTGCAGCCTCCTGAGGCTGGGATAACAGACACAGCTGGCTTGAATGTTTTAAAAATATCAACACACAGCTGGGCATGGTAGCGCATGCCTGTAATCCCAGTACTCAGGAGGCTGAGGCAGGAGGATCACAGCAAGTTTGAGACCAGCCTGGGCTACATAGTGAGTTCTAGGGCAGTCTTAACTACATAGTGAGACCCTGTCTCCAAAAAATAAATACACACACACACACACACACACACACACACACACACATAAAATCACCCCACAGACCAAATGTAAAAGTTGTGCAGGTTAGACATTATGGTTTGACTCAAGGGTTCCAGATTTGAACCATCTGGCATTGTTCTTTGTGATGCCTTTGACCTTAGAAACGGGACAAGCAACCCAGTGCTGTCCTCACTGGCCTGCCTTCTTCCCTCCTCTGCCTCCTTCCCTCAAACAAATTCATTTGAACACCTTATTTGGCTGCTTTGCTGAGCTGTCGGGTATGTAAGCAGATAAGCTGGGGTCCTGCTCTCAGAAATTGGGGTCATGTGTCTTTTCCAGGAACACAGGAAGTAAAGTTTATTGTGTTGGGTGTCATTGCATTTACTACTAGGCAGGTCACAGCAGAAGGTGCTGTGCAACACTGAGGACTCAGGGCACTCTGCCCCTTCCCATACACATTACCGCACCACCTGCCAGGGGTGCACTGACTTTAGATCTGGAAGCCCAGCCTGGCAGTTTTGTTTTAAAACAGAAAAGAAGGGCTACACATGTAGCTCAGTAGTAGAGCGCTAGCCTAGCATGCAAAAGGCCCTGGGGTTGATCCCTAGCACTGCATAAAAATAAAACAGGAAAAGGAACACAGAATTTATTACACGCCTAAGGCATGGGAATATTAGACTCCTTGGCAAGTTCAGCAAGGCTCAGCTCATGGCCAGCCTAACCCTCTGTGGCTTCAGACCTCCAGCCTTAGCAGTTGGGGTTTTCTATTTCAGGACTGCATGGATGATTTGCTTTTTATTAAGTGCTTTTGAGCAGCTGACCCAGATGAATCTCTTCCCTCTACTGTATTTAAGGCCAGAGCAGTAAATAAAATGCTCTTACACTCTGAGGTAAGGTCCCGAGGGTCTGGGACCTCATTGTGCATATATGGTCTGGGTCCAAACACAGAAATGGTGGCTTTTGTGTTGCTGCCTGTTCCCTCACCCAGGACTCCTCAGCTTCCCAGCCTGGGGTGGGGGCAGTCTTTTTCCCAGCGGCAGAGCCTTTAGCGGTAGGAAACAGGAGTGCCCTGAGCTGGAGAGAAAGTACAACCAGTCAAGTGCACACCTAACCTAGCATGCTTAATTAAGGTCCTGGGTTCCAACCCCAGCACCAATAAAGGTGGTATAGCTGGGTCTCACGGGCTGGAGATGGTGGCCAAACAGCTGCCCCTCACTTCTGCCTTCGGTTCAGGTCTCACGTCTTCCCCTCTGCGTACCTGCTCCTTTCCTGTCCTTCCTTGTCCTCTGCATTTGCTTGTCACTTGTTCATCCAAACATCCCTCCTGCCCAGGTCTGTGTGATCTTCCCACTTCTAGGACCTCCTTGGCTTCCAGTCCTGATGCCTAGTTACAAAGGCTGGAGAGGGAGGCCAGGGTGGCCCAGCTGGTGTCCTGGGCTGGCTGTGCTTGGGAGGGCAGGGCCCTCAGGGGAGTGCAGCCTGGGGAGAGCTCCACAACCTGATGTTTGACGGCTCCCTCTCCTTGTCTCCCCACCACTTCCCTTCCCACAGTGCCTGAGCCCCTCCTACCTGCCTCTTCGTTGTATGGCTGGAGGCTGTGGGCGGCTCCTCCGGGGACCTGAGAGCTGCTCTCTGGGCTGTGCTCAGGCGACACAGTGTGCCCTGTGCCTGCGGCGCCCCCACTGCGGCTGGTGTGCCTGGGGGAGCCAGGATGGGGGTGGCCACTGCATGGAAGGTGGACTCAGCGGCCCCCGTGATGGTGAGAAGGATTTGGAGTGGCAAGGGGGCTGGCTGGGGTATGATGCAGAGAGTGCAAGGCCCTGCTGGTTGTGTCTCAAATCTATAGCTCAGAAGCAGGGGCACCTGGGTGGCTGGGGCAGGCGGTGCAGAAGCACCCAGGTGAAGCCCTGAATCTCGGGCCAGGGTTGACCTGTGGGCGTCCTGGGGCGTCCTGGGCCTTCCTGTCCTGCCCCCCTGAGGACGAATGTGCAAATGGGCACCACGACTGCAATGAGACCCAGAACTGCCACGACCAGCCCCATGGCTACGAGTGCAGCTGCAAGACAGGCTACACCATGGACAAGTGAGGCTGTGGGTGGGCAGGGGGAACCACACGGGGCTGGGAGGGAGCCCTTGAGGAGCAGTAAGGGTAAGGTCTGAGCAGCGCATGGGGGAGTCCAAGGCATGAAGGCGGTGGGATGGATCAGGAAGGGGAAGGTGAGCTCTGGCTCCAGCCATGGCTCCTGACCCCCACTCCACCCCACAGTGTGACAGGCCTGTGCCGCCCTGTGTGTGCCCAGGGCTGTGTGAATGGCTCCTGTGTGGAGCCTGACCACTGCCGCTGCCACTTCGGCTTTGTGGGCCGCAACTGTTCCACAGAGTGTCGCTGCAATCGTCATAGTGAGTGTGCTGGCGTGGGAGCCCGAGACCACTGCCTGCTGTGCCGCAACCACACCAAGGTGGGTGGCCCTAGGCCTCAGACCCCTGATTTGGGACCTAGGCCTTTGTTTGCCTTCAGCCTGTCCTCTGGCATGGTTTTCTTTTGTTTGCTGTGGTGCTGGGGATCAGACCCAGGGCGTCCCATATGGTAGGCAATGCTCTACCACTGAACTACATCCTCAGCCCTTCTCATTCTGAGTCCTCATAAGCTGAGGGCAGGGAAGCAGTAGCAGAGTCTGGCCTAGGAAGGTGTGAGAAGCCTCTGGGGGAACTGCAGTAGGGGACAGATTATGGGCTGGGGCAGGAAGGCAAGTGTGGCAGGAAGGGCTTTTTTTTAGAACTGGGTATCACCAAACCCAGGGCCCTCACATGGAGCTACATTCCCAACCTTTATTTTTTATTTTGAGACAGAGTCTTGCTAAGTTGCCCAGGCAGGTTGGACTTGAATTTGTGATCTTCTTGCTTCAGCCTCCCAAAACAGCTGGGGTTACAGATGTGCACCAGCACACCTGATTGTAAAGGGGGTTTTGAGCTCAAGATTTAGGGCAAGTGAAGGTGGGGCTGAGCACAGATAGGTAGGGATGGTCCATACCAAGTTCCAGTCCCTCATGTCCCCCTGCCCTGTGATTCTCCAACCCTTCTGACCACTCTGACCTGGGTTCCCAGGGCAGCCACTGTGAGCAGTGCCTCCCACTGTTTGTGGGTTCAGCCGTGGGGGGCGGGACCTGCCGGCCCTGCCACGCTTTCTGTCGTGGCAATAGCCACGTCTGCGTCTCCAGGAAGGAGCTTGAAATGGCCAGGAGGGAGCCTGAAAATTACTCACTGGATCCAGAGGAGGTGAAAGGCTGGGGGCTGGACTTCTAGGTTTGAGGGAAGAGGCTGGGTGTGGACCCCTAGGTCTGAGGGAGGGCTGGGTCCTGGGTTCTTGGGTCTAAGGGAGGAGGCTGGGCCTGGACTCTTCGAGTCTGAGGGAGGAGGGGATGGCCCATGCCTTTTTGTGAACACTTGTCCTTCCTTGGTCAGATTGAAAACTGGGTGACCGAGGGTCCTAGTGAAGATGAAGCCGTTTGTGTGAACTGCCAGAATAACAGCTATGGGGATAAATGCGAGAGCTGCCTCCATGGCTATTTCCTCCTGGATGGGAAGTGCACCAAGTGAGCGCAAGGGCTGGGACCCTCACTCTTTTCAATGGGAATAGCTCTTGAGCCAGACTCTCCTCCCCAGTCTTCTGTCAGAGAGGGTAAAGTGTCCAGGGACCCCAGGCCAGGGCAGAGGAGAGGGAATGAGCTGGGCTCGGACGAGAGACACCCTCCATCAGAGGCCCTCACTGAGGCGCAGGCTACAGAGCAGCCCAGTGGAGACAGACTGGCAAGAACAGAGGGCTTCTGAGGGAGGAGGCCTTGAAACAACCCCCAGCTCCATGCCTGTCCTCCTGAATGTTTGGGTGGCTCAGGCCAGTTCAAGTTAGGTTCCAATCCTGACTGCCACTTAATGGTTCTATGGCCTTGAGCAATTGGTTTGACCTCTGTGAGTCTCAGGTCATGTGTATTAGTCGGCTTTACACAGTGTCTGACATCTACAATTTAAAGGAAGAAAAGTTGAATTTAGCTCACAATTTCCGAGGATTCAGTCCGTGGTCAGCCAGCTCCAAGGCAGAAACATCTGGTGGAAAACATGGCAGGGTAAAGACACTTAGTTCATGGAGGCCAGGAAGTGGAGCAGGGGGACAGAGCCAGAGAGGGAAGGCTGGGGACCAGATATACAGGTCACATCTCCGTGACCCACCCAGACACACCTAGAAGTATGCCCCACCAATCCCATTGCTGGCTCTCAAGGCACTCAAGTTGACCGTTAGGCCCAGCCAGCTCATCACAAGAGCTCCATAACCCAGTCTTCTTCCCCACCCTCAGATGCCAGTGTAACGGTCACGCGGACACCTGTAACGAGCAGGATGGGACGGGCTGCCCATGTCAGAACAACACAGAGACAGGCACATGCCAGGGCAGCTCCCCTAATGACCGCCGAGACTGCTACAAGTATCAGGTACGACCGGAGAAGGGGGAGCTCTGGGCCAAGGTGTCCACACCCTCAAAGGGGCAAAACCAACAACATGCTCTGAATCTGTGCTGTTGGATCAAGGTCAACCTATTAGGCTATTCCTGACTCTCAGTCAGTTTCTGGCTCTGGGCATTGAAGTCAAAGACCCTGGAAGGGGAGCTCTCAGACTGATGTAGAAAGTCTCCATTGCAGATAGTCACCAACTTGAAGGGTGTCAGTGCCAGAAAACCCAGCTCATGTTAACTTAAGACAAAAAGACAGTGTATTGATTCTCAGAACTGAGGTCTGGGGTCTGTCCTCCGGAATGACTGAATCCAGGTGGACCTCAGAGTGCCATAGTCCCTGGGGGTGACACCAGGGACAGCAGTGCTGGCATGTCAGGTTCCAGTGGTATCCACGCTGTGGCGGGGACACCCTGGGGGAGTGGCCAGGGCACAGGTGACGGCCTAGGGCAGTGACTTACCATCGGGCACAGCTGTTCTCTTTGGCCTGCCTGAGCTCAGCCTTGATGCTTCCTCCACCCCTGCCCTGCCTGCAGTGCGCCAAATGCCGGGAGTCGTTCCATGGGAGCCCGCTGGGCGGCCAGCAGTGCTACCGGCTCATCTCAGTGGAGCAGGAGTGCTGCCTGGACCCCACCTCCCAGACCAACTGCTTCCACGAGCCCAAACGCCGGGCCCTGGGCCCTGGCCGCACTGTCCTCTTCGGTGTGCAGCCCAAGTTCACCAACGTGGACATACGCCTGACACTGGACGTGACCTTCGGTGCTGTGGACCTCTACGTCTCCACCTCCTATGACACCTTCGTGGTCCGCGTGGCCCCTGACACTGGCATCCACACTGTACACATCCAGCCACCCCCACCCCCGCCCCCAAAAAAAAATGCTGACGGTTCCCCGGGTGGCTGGGGACCCAGGAGGACCAGGAGCTGGAAGTGGGCCTGGCATACCCCCGGAGCCGCGGGTACGGGAGGTATGGCCCCGGGGCCTGATTACCTACGTGACCGTGACAGAGCCATCTGCGGTACTCGTGGTCCGAGGAGTGCGGGACAGGCTGGTCATCACCTACCCACATGAGCACCATGCCCTCAAGTCCAGCCGCTTCTACCTGCTGCTGCTGGGTGTGGGCGACCCAAGTGGGCCCGGTGCCAACGGCTCAGCCGACTCGCAGGGCCTGCTGTTCTTCCGTCAGGACCAGGCCCACATCGACCTGTTTGTCTTCTTCTCTGTGTTCTTCTCCTGCTTCTTCCTCTTCCTCTCTCTCTGTGTGCTCCTCTGGAAGGCCAAGCAGGCACTGGACCAGCGGCAGGAGCAGCGCCGGCACCTGCAGGAGATGACCAAGATGGCCAGCCGGCCGTTTGCCAAGGTCACCGTCTGCTTCCCACCGGACCCCACCGCCCCAACCCCTGCCTGGAAGCCAGCAGGACTCCCACCACCTGCCTTCCGCCGCTCGGAGCCTTTCCTGGCACCCCTGCTGCTGACGGGGGCCGGTGGACCCTGGGGACCCATGGGAGGGGGCTGCTGCCCGCCGGCCATCCCTGCCACCACTGCAGGCCTTCGAGCTGGGCCCATCACCCTCGAGCCCACAGAAGATGGCATGGCTGGTGTGGCCACACTGCTGCTCCAGCTGCCTGGCGGGCCCCACGCACCCAATGGAGCCTGCCTGGGGTCAGCCCTTGTCACACTGCGACACAGGCTGCATGAGTACTGTGGGGGTGGTGGGGGTGCGGGGGGGAGTGGACACGGGGCAGGTGCAGGCCGGAAGGGACTCTTGAGCCAGGACAACCTCACCAGCATGTCCCTCTGACCTGCCGAGTGTCCTCAGCCACAGCAGCCAAGTCACTTGATGGGGCCACTCTGTACCGGGGACACCGGACACTGACTCCTCAGAGACCGCTGGCTTCCTTCCCCCAGGGCTCCCCTTTGTTCTGCATTCAGCAACTATTTATTGAATTCTACTTTGCGCCAGGCACTGTTGTAGGCACAGAGCAAAGCAGGAAGTGAGGGGGAATTCTCTGATCTCATGGGACTTAGGGTCTAGTGAAAGGAGACAGTCTGTACACATACAAAAAATGCTGGGTAGTTTCAGAGAAGGAAAAGTTGCGAGACCTCAGCAGGACATGGCGGTAGAGGATGGTGGGGTGAAGTCAACTGTGCATTCTGAGAAGCTATATTGAGGAAGAAAGGAACTATCCATGGGAAGAGCACTGGGAAATGAATTCCAAGCAGATGGACCTGCAGGGCAAAGGTCCTGAGATGGGAACCAGCTTGTTTATTGGAAGAACCAGAAAATGATTGTGAAGCCAGATCAAGTATGAGGACATGAGGTTGGGGACAGTCAGGACCTTCTGCACCCTGGGTAGGGGTTTTGGTTTTTCTCCCAAGGGCATTGAGAAGCTATTGGATGGTTTTGTGGGGCAGAGTGGCAGGGTCTGTGCCTGTTTAGACACGGTGTGGGGAGTGGGGCGCAGGGGCCAGGAGGACAAGGGACAACTGGGCTGGATCAGGGTGACGGCATTGAGGAGAGTCAGGCTCAGACGCAGGATGAGTGTGGAAGATGTGGTGTGGGTAAGGATGCCAGGGTGACCCGAATGCTACGGCCTCCACTGACGGGGCTGTTCATTGAAGTGGGTAGGCGGGCCTGGGACGATGAGCATCCAGGCTTGGTTTTTCTTCAGTCAGGTCCAGCTGGCAGTTGGAGTTGAGTGCAGGAAATCGGTAGTCCTGGTGAGGGTGGCGGCTGAGAAGGGACAGTGACTGTCGAGCAGTGAACAACAGCAGGAAGCTGCCGCTGCCACCCCTGGGCTCAAGGACCAAGCTCAGTAGTGGCACTGCGTGGCCTTAGAATCGGTTACCCAGCAAACCAGGAGCAACAAGGGAGCCTTAGAAGAGGGGAAACTTCTGCCTGAGATGTCCCCCGGGGAGGGGGGCGTTGGTGGGGGGTGCTGAAGTTGAAGAGGGAATGGTAGGGTCGTTACCACAGCTCTCTTCCAGGCAGGGTTGCCTTGATGACTAAGGGCCACCCCACCCAAGCCTCCTCCTAGGACTTTCGAGCTCCTCCCACTTGAGGACCCCTTCCAGTCCTAGCTGTCTTCCTTAATTTGGGACCCTCCCAACACTACAGTCCCCAGCTGTTGTTTTGGTTCCGGGGGAGGGGGCTGGGCCCTTTATCTTCCCCTCATTGGGGGCCCCTGTCTGAGAGGCCCCCCCAATATGTGCATGTCAGAGGCAGCTGGGACTGTGTTGGAAGAGGGGAGCGACTGAACAAATAAAGGGGAAGACCCAAGTGTCTGATCATGATCTGCATTCTGGAGAGGAATGAACGGGCCTGGGCATTGGCTGTCTGAACCAGCACCTTAGCTGGTGACTGGGTTGTGAGGGGTGGGCCTGAAAGAAGCTCTTGATCCTCCGAAGGGCTGAGTGGAATTGGTACAGTGGCGCACACCCTGTAATCCCAGTACTCTGGGAAGGCAGGAGGATTGCAAGTTTGAACTCAATCTGGACAACTGGATGAGACTCCGTCTCAAAGGCCTGCGAATATAGCTTAGTGTGAATGCCCTGTACCTAGGAGAAGCAGCGGCTTGGGGGCAGGGTTGGCATAGAGATGCCTTTCTTTTCCTAAGTCTCTGCCATAGGGACATCCCAGTTTGGCTCAGGAGGAAAGGCAGACTCCCGTGGTTCTGAGCACAGGTTTTGTACTGGACCTTGATGTGAGACTGGAAGAGTTCAAACCAAACATTGTGGAAACTGAGACACTGCCCTAACGTGATGAGGTTTCTCTGGCTCAAGTATACTCTCAAGGTCAAAACCAGAGGCCTTATGAGAACCTTCCTATCTCCCCATCTTCTGGACAAGTGGAGGCCCAGATATGGAGGCAGGTAGGAGCCGGAGACCTCTGTCCTTCAGCCTCCACTCAGCTGAGCGTCTTGCTGGGAGTGCTCAGTGGGACACCTGTACAACGCAGCCCCCAAGCGCAAGCCGGTTGCTTCGGTGATCTGTCAAGTGCATGACACTGGTGGCAGGTATGTGAGTCTGCAGCGTGGCCTGTGAATGACAGTATTTTCAGACTTTGTGGATGGCTTAGGGAATTTTCAGAGATTACTTTGACCACGTAGGAGTTTTGCCATTAGGAATGGACAGTAGCGCCTACCTTCCAAGATGTGACTATGCACTTGACACTTACTGAACTCCATGTGCTAAATGTTGAATTTTATTGGATCTTTCCAACACTGGTATTTAGGTGGGGGTCACATGATGGCCATTTTGCAGAGGAGAGGCAACATTTAGTTGTCAAGTCACCACTACCACTGGCACCAAAACAGGACTATTGTGCTTCAACTCCTTAGATGAGGTTTGGCAGTCTCCCTGTGACTTGACTTTCCTAAGAGCATTTGTGCTGTGAGCAGGCCTTTTCTGTGGGACACAGAGCCACTCTGCGTTTGACTCCTGTTCCTGACCTGTGCGTGCCCCTGCACAAATGGCACATGGCCTATGTCCATCCTTTGTCCACATCACCTTCTCAGTTCTTGATTCTCCCTGGGTGCACCGGAATGCAAGAGGCTCATGGTGGGTGAAAGCCTGGCACAGGATGCCAGAGGCCTGGCTTTTAACTGTGTGTGTCTGCCAATGCCCGGGGGTTTCAGGCAAGGGGGCATTTTACCTAGGTCTGTAGCCCTCCAGGCACTTAATCTTGCCAAACATCCCTGGAAGTCTTGTTCCCCATTTTGTGCATATGGAAGCCAATCTCTTGCCTATGAACTCGGGGCTAACTAGGAGCAAATCAGATTCTGAGAAGCCTGAACCCCTGTTGCCCCGACATCATCTCCAAAGTCATTTTTCTAAGACTGTGTCGTGTGGTTGGGATCAGCTGCAGCAGGCCCCACAGTGTTCCAGGTACTGAGTGCATAGCAGTGGGCAAGTTCTCTGCCCTCATGGAGCTAATAAACCAGTGGGATGCCTGCTCATAAGTAAATGATGCAGTATATTAGAAGGTGACCAGAAAGGGCACTTGACACTTGCTATTTGATGTAAGGCAGGAAGGGAAAGGCCTGTCTCACAAGAGGATGTGAGAGAGGGAGGGACTCACACAACACCTAAGGGAAGAGCTGAGGGAACAGCCGGGGCGAAGGCCCTGAGGTAGAAGTGTGCCTAGCATTTTAGAGAAGACAGATTCATGTGGTTGGAGCAGAGGGAGGCAGGAGAAGACAGGACTCAAACAGGGTCACAGAGGGAGTAAGAGCCAGATCCTGCAAGTCCTTGGGCCACAGTGAGGACTCTTTCTCCTCTCAGGGAATGGAGCCATGGGAGGATTCTGAGCACGGAAGGCACGTGACCTGACTGAGGACTTCAGAGGAGTCCTCTGTGCAGAAGCCTAGCAAGGGAGCCACTATGCTCCAAGTTGAGAGAGGAGAGAGGGGCAGCAAGGTGGGGAGCAGTGGTTAGAGACTGGATATGTCCCGAGGTAGAGCCAACAGACTGGGTGCTGGGTGAGGGAGGTACTGGCTGAACAACAGGAAGGATGGAGCTTGTAGCTTCCTGAGATGGGAAGAATGTGGAGGAAGAGGGATGGAGGATCAGGAGCAGGGTTTGGGACATGTTACATCCGAGGAAGTTCCTGGGTGCTCCAAGTGAAGATGTCATTCAGTGGTGGGATGCAGCAGGAGGGTAACAGCAAGTAATACTAACACTATATTAATACTGGGGTAGTTCTATTACAAATAATCTAATACTAATATTAGCAATGGCAGTTTTTTTAGCTCACACTTTGATCTGTCCCATTGCCTGCTCTCATAGTAGCCTTTTTTTGTTGTTTTTTGGTACCAGGGATTGAACTCGGAACCTTGCAAGGCAGGCGGCGGCACCACTGAGCTAAATCCTTAGCCCAGTAGCTTTTTGATATATTAGAGATTCTTACCCTGAGCAGAAAAAAACAGGCTCAGAAAGGGTTATAAGTTGACAAAGATAACACAGTAAGTGGCAAAGTTTTCAGATTGGATCCCAAGTCCTAAACATTCTCTAATCTGCCAGTTGCTTTGAAGTAAATGTTATCATGCAAAACTTGGTTCACACAGCACAACGGCACCCAGTTTGTCAAGAGGCGCATCAAAGCCAGATGTGAAGCTGCAGGCCCATGACCAGAGCACTTTGGGAGGCTGAGGTAGGAGGATCGGAAATTCAAGCCAAGCCCTGGGCAATTGAACAACTTAGTGACTTAGCAAGACCTCCCTCTAAAAAAAATAAAGGGTTGGCGATATAGCTCAGTACGAAGGTCCTAAATTCAATCCCCATTACCTCCCCTACATCCCCCAAAGAGGTAAGTTGGTGGTACACATAGAACTTTATTACAGTGAGCTGGCAGATCAGATAGTAGACCTAGAGGGCCAGCATCTTAAAGGACCATCCTACCAGGACGCCGATTCAGGAGTGGTTTATATAGGAGATGGGTGATTGGCCTCTCACAGGTGGAGGTTGTGGTCACATGCTGCACATCTGATTTGCGGGGGGCAGTTCTGGGGATTGAATCCAGGACCTCATGCATGCTAGGCAAGCACTTTATCAGTAGGCTACATTGCTATTCTCTTTTTTGGTACATTTTAGGTATACAATATGATGACATTTGTCATTGGGAATCTGTATTTTTACATGATATATCTTTTTTTTTTTTTTTTTTTTTTAGTACTGGGGATCAAATTCAGGTCCTTTTGCTTGCAAGGCAGGTGGCAGAACCACTGAGCTAAATCCCTGGTCCATGATATATCTTTTTTCTGGTACTGGGATTGAACTTGGGACCTTGCGCTTGTGAAGCAGGTGGCTGCACCCCTGAGCTAAATTCCTGGCCCTACATGATATATCTTGGTTCTTATTTTTTTTCCTCCATTTCCCTACCCTCCCATCATCCCCTCCATCCTTCCCTATTTACAGACTTTGTTTCCATTTTTTTCCTTTTATCATATTCCTACCCCATCTACTTCCCCTTCCCCTTTGGAACTAGTCTTCCTATTTCACATTACCTATTATACATTTTAATCCTTATTTACACTTTCAGTTTCTTATACCAGAGACTGCAATGTCTTTTTCTTTTTTCTTTTTTTTTTGGTACCAGGGATCAAACTCGGGACCGTGTGCTTGCGAGGCAGGCAGCAGCACCAACCACTGAGCTAAATCCACAGCCCTACAATGTCTATTCTTAAGGCTCAGTGTCATAAAGAGAGGTGAATGAACTGGAAACCCCTTCAGAATTCATTTCAGCTCCAGAGACCCTTAAGCTTGACAGTTCTTTGCTTTGGCAATTCAAGCCTGTAAGAAGTATGTGAAGGCCAAAAAAGTCCATAGGTACTGAATGAGCAGGGGAGAGCATTCCTAATTTTTTTTTTCTTTGAATTTGAGTGCCCAGACTCTGCTAATGTAATGGTGTAACATGGGCCCATGTCTCCCAAAGTTGAAGAACAGAGTAGAGGACAAAGGAGGTAGACAGGGTAAGAAGAGAGGAATAGGGCCCAGGATTTAGTTCGGTGGTGCCACCACCTGCCTCAAGGTGCAAGGTCCTGAGTCCGATCCCCCCCCAAAAAAAAGGAGAGAGAGAGGAATAGTTCCCAAGTGTTGTGGGTTCCCACAGTGACTCTTTGTCTAGAAGTTTTTATATAAAAACATGACCTAGGCTGAGACCACTCCAAGTCAAATTAAGGTCAACCTTTAAGACTAAGACAAGCTTACTTAAACTAGAAATGGACCTATGAGGAGATGAGGCACATAGCAAGCGTATGTCTGTGGTTACCTCTTGGTTTCTATCCTACCCAAGTGGTGGTTCATTAAAAGAACAAGGAAGTGAGGTCCAGCACATGAGAGGCTGAGGCAGAAGGATTGCTATGAATTTGATGCCAGCCTGGGCTGCACAGCGAGTTCAAGGCCAGCCTGAACTACATAAGGAGACCCTGTCTCAAAACAACAACAAAACAAAGACAAAAAACAAAGCAGGAAGGAGAAAACATTACCCAGATAGGTAGGAGCAGAAATTGTCATAGCAGGCATCCATCACCTTGCTTGATACCTCGCTTTTTACAACCCTGGACTTAACTGCCCACTGGGTTCTTGTTAGCTCTTGACCTCTGGCTTCTGCTTGCCTGACCAAGGCCTGGTCATCCTGATTCTATCTTGGACCCAGTGCCTCTCTAGTTGCCTAACTGGCCTGTCTCCCTTTCTGGTTTCACTTATTTTCACGTTGGGGATCTGCAGCTAAGCACAGTGGTTTTATTGGTTAGGTGAGGACAGCTGGGCTTAGAGAGGGACGACGCACCAAAGCCAAAGTCCTTACACAGCCGTCCGTCTCCAATGCCCAACTCTTCCATCCACATCTGGCCATTTCTCTTGTGTCCCCACCTCCATCACCAAACCTCCCTCTCCGCCCAGATTCCTGGGCCAAAAAGGATGTAGGCGGGCTGGGTTTTCAGGTTTTTATTGTGGGTGTATTTTTGGCAGTGGGAGCTGGGCGGCAGACTCTCCGGGAAGGGGCCAGAGGAGGCCAGGCCCAGGCGTGACAGTGGAAGGAGGAGGAAGGCGGAGCGGGAACGTCTCTACCCTCGGATCTTCAGCTCCCGCGCCATCTGACAGAGGGCGCAGGGCAGACAAAAGGTGAGGGCCGCCCAGTCGTGCCCGACGGAGCCCTGGAGGGTGGGAGAGAGAGGTCAGAAGCGCTGCTGGCGCCCCCGGAGTCGGGTCCCCAGTGCCCTGCTCCCGCGTCCGGCCGGCGCGCACCTGGATGTTGTAGCGCTCGCGCATGCCGGTGCGCAGGGAGTGCAGGCCGCCGGGCAGATAGGGCGTGCAGCAGCACTCGCCGAAGTCGTCGGAGATGCGGCAGGCGAGGCACAGGGGAGCGAAAGTGCCACACAGACCTGGGCGGGCCGAAGACACAGCTCAGGGGCGAGGCCGGCGGGCGTCCGCTCAGCCCGAGGAGTTGAGGGTCCCAGAGGGGACTGGGGTCCGAGGAGGGGAGGCTTAGCGTTGGAAGAGGGAGTTGGCATCCCCAGGACAGTTGAGGGTGCGAGGGGGAGTCCAGAGCTGGAAGCTATGAGGTCCCCAGAGCGAGCTGGCAGGCGCGGTGAGCGGCCCTCCCCTCCCGCCTCCCGGGCACTCACAGACGGGCATGTCGTTGCAGCAGTCAGTGAGACCCGTGTGCCAGTCACTGAGCTGCGACTGGTAGCAGGTGTTGGCGCACTGGGGCTGAGTGGTCACTGGGTAGGACATGGCTGCGGATGGGGAGAGGGGTCAGCAGACAGTCTAGCTGGACCTCCTGGGCCCCCTTCCCCTGCCACCCTTCCCTCTGCCGGGCAGTCTAGGCGGGGCCACCAGGCCGCCCGTGGAGGGGACACCACTGCGCCGCCCTGTCCCTTCTGCCACATGTGAGCATCGACACCCTGGTCTGTCCCTTTTGCCTGCTGCCTCCTGCACATTTGGTTGAGATGGCCTGGGGTGGGTGGGGTGGGGGCTCCTGCAGGTCTGAGGAAGAGTGGGCACTGCCTCTGGGCAGGGCTTGGACATGCCACCTCCTCCACCACATCTGAGTCTGGGCTCCAGCATCTCGGGGACCTCTGGGGTGGAAGCAGCTGCCATTTGTCTTCAAAGCCAGGATGCCCAGGGGAGGGAGGCAGTCAGGTTCCAGGTACTGGGAGGGTTGCAGGTCCATCCAGTGGTCCCACCTTTGCCTTTCACGTTGTCGTGCATCTCAAACTGCATTTTCCTGGCCTCAAGGAGGCAGTGGTGTGGATGCAGAGGTGGCTGCAGCAACGGCGTTGAGGTCTGTCCGAGGGACACTGGATACTGGGCAGGTGAGGGCCAGGGACTAGGGCACTGGGGGGTGGGCACTCAGGGGGAAGGGAGCTGGGGAGAAGGAGGCCAAGTCAGCCTGTTGGCTGGGAGAGACATGGAATCAGGGATGGGTAAGTGGGGCGAGGAACTCGCCCATGTCTTTACAGCTGCCCGACAGACCCCAGAGGACCCTCCTCATACCAGAGACAGAGCTGCACAGAGACAGAGAACATCAGGCAGAGGCAGGGACAAGGGGAGAAGAGCTCTGAGCCAGGGGCCCATAGAGATGCTGTCAGTGACGCTCACATGCCTTGCATCCTCTGCAAGTCCCTGTCACAGAGGGACCCTGAGGCTCCATGAAGCGAACAGAGAAGCCCAACCCTGATGGCCCAGACCAAGGTGAGTGGAAGAGGAGATGCTGACCCCCAGAGTCCAGACTCAACTTAGTGCCGCTCAGGTTGAAAAACAAAACAGGGCCGTTGAGAAAGACAGACATCCAGGGAGACAGACATCCCAGAGATCCATGAAAGGAGATGCGAGCAGAGTGAGATGGTAGCAGAACAAAGGAGACGTGCCCAGCCTCGGAGAGCACTGGGCTGCGGGAGGGAGGGAAGGGCCACTCCTACCTGCAGGCTGAAGACTCAGCGACGGAGACGGAGCTGTAGGTGGCACGGGCACTGAGTTCTCAGTCCCAGGCCGGGAGCTTCTTATATGGGCAGTGCCACGCAGCCCTGGGTGGGGCTCTGACAGAGGTGCCCAGGGAGCCAAGCCGGTCCGGCTGACCCTCTCCCCCCCACCGGCCTTTCCAGCCCTGCCTCTCCATTCCCCACCCCCATCACTTCCCGGGCTGCCTCACCGCCTAGGACCGAGGAAATAGTGTGGGTGTGTGGGGGAAGGAAAGGGGAGGCGGCTGGGTCCTCTTCAGGACCCAAAGAGACAGAGACACAGATGGAGAGGGATGGGGGACGGAGACCGAAGGGATTTGAGGAAGCGGTGAGAGAGGAGGGAGTGAGAGAGAAAACTCAGAGTGTTGGAGAGAAACAGGAAAGCAGAAAGATGGAGAAAGGTACGGGGACAGAGAGGGATAAATAAGTGGGACTAATAACAAAAAGGGAAATTAGGGTTCTGAGAGGAGAGGCTCTGGGATGGACCGGTGGAGGAGGGCAGCAGAGCAGAGGGTAAGGGAGGGCAGAGGAAGGGGTTGATGGGGACAAAAAGGCCAGGTGGGTTGCAGAGTGCAGAGGGGGCTGCCCCGGAAAAGTTCCCTCTCTCCATGCTTAGTGACTTCACTTCCTGGGGAGAAGAGGGCTTAATGTTGTCACTTCCCCAGAAGAGGAGGATTGTCCTCTCTTTGAGGCCAAGAGATGAAGCAAGACACTGTACTTTAGGCAGTGATTCTTGCCGGGACCAAAGCCGATCATCACACCTCACCTCAACTCCAAACTGGAAGTGAGGATGCTGCCTGCTGAAGTGGAATTGAAACACACGGATACGGCTCTAGTCACATCCGAAGTCCTAAAGGCGCAGAAGACTGGGGCTGGGGGGCCTCGAGCCCTACTTCTGAAGGAGAAGGAAGCTCGAGCCTAGACCCCTGGGTCTTAGGGACCTGGACTTCGGGGTCTTAGGAAGGATTATTGAGGCCTGGACCCCTGAGTGTGAGGGAAGTGTGGCTGGGCCTGCACTCCCGGGTCGGGGAGGTGGGGAGCGAGTGAGGAGGCCCCAGAGGGAAGAAGGAACTGGAGTCTGCACCCCTCAGTTTGAAGGAGGGACATTGAGCCTGGACCCATGGGTCTCATCTCCTTACACTATCCTGCGTGTTCCTGGGTAGGTAGAGGTCCCTGGGCGCCAGAGCTGAAGGCTGGATTCCTGAGTTGCTGAGGTCTCCCCTCAACAAGCTTGACAGGGTTGGAGGTGACTCAATGAGGGGAAGCGGTGTTCGAGCTGGGTGAGGTTTCCAGTGCGGGTGTTACCTCAGAAATGTAGGAGGCACCAGAAAGTCAGGGTGTCACCTGTAGCGAAGGTGCTGTCATCACCTCACAATGTATGGATATGGGGTGATGGCAGGTGGATCACCTGCTGGCCTGGGATCATGACTTTCCCCCCACACCCAACACACCACACCGGGACCCAAGGTTCTGTCTCCAGGCCCCACCCGGTTGGCTGGCTCTCTTTGTCCCCAGACCAGTGACAGCTCAGTTTTGGCTGCACATCTGTCACTTGGTCTGGGAGCCTGCACGTTGCACGTATCTCTTTGTCCCCAGACCAGTGACAGCTCAGTTTTGGCTGCACATCTGTCATTTGGTCTGGGAGCCTGCACGTCTGGAGGGCTGCTCCTCAATTCGTTCTTGTGCCTCTATTTCCCGTCTCTGCATTTCATCTTCTTCCTTCTCGCCTCATCTCTGCAAATCTGCTTCCAAGTGTTTGGGTCTCTGGCTCCCATCTCTTGGCCTGTAGTCTCCGTGCCCTTATCCTGGGCTCTCTGTCTGCTGTCCTTGTATCTCTCTCCTCATCTCTCCCTTTCTGTTCCATGCAGGCAGCCACAAGGCTCAGACTATGGGCTGCAGGTGACTCAAGATCAGTCATTTCTGGGGACCCCAAGGTTCCTGAGATGACAATATGAGTTGTCCTCGAGTTTCCTCTTCTGATACAGCCTGGAGGGCCCAATTAGATATAACAACGCATGTAAATGAGGAAATCCCAAACTGGGGAAGCTGTGAGGTGGCCTGCTGGGGCGTGAGGGGAGCCCAGAGCAGGAAGAGGTAAAGCCTAGGAGGTGGACGTTTGCCAGTGGCCCAGCCAGTAGGCAGCTGGCCTGTGTCCTCCTCCTATGGGATTATTCAATAAATACAGGATGTCTAGGTCAATTCAATAGGAATTTCAGAACACAATGAACTTTTTTTTGGTGTTAGCATCTTCCATACAGTTTAAAAAAATTTTTTTTTTAAAAGAAGCATTTTTTTTTTTTTTTTGCTGGGAGGCAGAGACAGGGTCTCACTATGTAGCTGAGACTGACCTGGATTTCACTATGTAGCCCAGGTTGGTCTCGAACTCACAGCAATCCTCCTGCCTCAGCCTTCCGAGTGCTGGGATTACAGGCATGCACCACCATGCCTGGCTTAAAGCAGCATTTTTAAACAGGATCTTGCCAAGTTCCTCAGACTGGTCTCAAACTTGCAGTCCTCCTGCTTCAGCCTCCAGAATAGCTAGGATTACAGACTTGCACCACTGCACCCAGCTGGACATTTTTCTTTGCCAAGCCTGGAATTCTGCCTAGTCCAGGGCCCCTAGTCCTCCACTCTCTAGACTGGAGAGTCCAGGCCTGGGTCTTCTTCCTCATCTCCCTGAAAACGAGTGGGCACCCAACCCCTGCTCCCTCAGCTTACAGGAGTCCAGGCTGCCAGCCCCAGAACCCAGGAGTCCAAGTGTGAAAACCCAATTGCCCAATGTGGGTTTCACAAAGCAGATTGTGCCATCCATGGCCGTGGTGGAACCGGTCTGGCTGAGCTGACAAGTAGGGAGCCCCTTCTCACCCCAAACCTGCTGTTTCCTTGAGGGCCAGACCAGGGGAACAGGAGGGACTCGAGCTCTTGGGTGTGTCACTGTCTGTTTTGGGCGTGTTGTGTCTCCATGGTGGTTGTGTGACTGTGCGAGGATTGTCACCATACATCACTCTTTTCTTTTTTTCTCCCCTCTCAGTACTGGGGATTGAACTCAGGGCTTTCACAGAGTGACTTCCCCTCTCATCCCTCCATCTTTCTTTATTTTTGAGACAGTCTTGCTAAATCACTCACTAAATTGCCTATGTTGGGCTTGAACTTGCAATCTTTTTGCCTCACAGTGCTAGGATTACAGCGCCACTATTCCCAGAACAGTATTTTTTTTGTATCAGGGATTGAACTCAGGACCTTACACTTGTGAAGCAGGCGGTGGCACCACTGAGCTAATAATCCCTGGCCCACAACAGACTTCTTTGCATATCTTCTGTAGTCTGCAGTGTGACATGTGATGGGTGTCTTCTGTCTGTGTTGCATTATACTCCTGTGACTGTGCACACTGTGCTCCTCTATTTGGGAATGTTCTTATTTATCGTGGCTCTATAATTCTGTTCTGTTTTGTTTTTTTGGTACTAGGGATTGAACTCAGGACCTTGTGTTTGCGAGGCAGGCAACAGAACCAGAGCTAAATCCCTGGCCCCATGGCTCTATAATTCTGACTGAATTAAGGCAGTTCTTTTTTTGTTTGTGAGGTTTTTTTTGGGTGGTGGGGAGTACTGGAGATTGAATCCAAGACCTACAGACTGAGCTGTATTTACAGCCTTTTACATTTTTTATTTTGCGACAGATTCTCATCAAGTTCCTAAATGGTCTGGGCTTGGTTCAAACTTGCTGATCCTCCTGCCTCAGCTTCCCAGAATGCTAAGATTATAGGCACCATTCTCAGCTAAGGCAGCAATTAATTATGGAGAAATAGTCTTATGTGATGGACTCTAAAGCCAGATAACCTGGGTTGAAATCCTAATTGCCTGTTTTTGAGAGAGTATTACTATATAACCCATGAACTCATGACCCTTCTGCCTCAGCCTTCCAAGCATTGAGATTACAGACACGTGTCATCGTGCTTAGCTTCAACTGCCTCTCACTGGCCGTGAGACCTCAGAGAGTTCACCAGGCTTCTCTGTCTCAGTTTTCCCTTCTGCAACACGGGCTTTTTGCAAATAAAGTTGCCAAGGGGATTAAAACGAGTTAATTCATACAAAGGGCTTAGAGTCAATTGTGCCCGCACAGAGGAAACATTTTGTTTGTCTGTGATGATGGTGATGATTATGTTCTTTTAGTTGCTGAAGATACAAATGAACAAAATCGAGTCTTTGCTTACAGGGCTTCTAGCAGAGCCTGGCCACTGGTCTGACTGTGGCCGAGCAGAGTCACACAGTGTGGACTAAGATATTTCTGTCAGTGCAGGTAACTCCGTGTCTATGTTTGTGTTTGTGCTCATAGGTGATTACATGTGTTCTCCATATATATCTGATTATGTGGGTGCAAGTGTAATATCACACCAAACACGTATTCTGAGGACACGTTTGGTCTCACGTTGCATTTCTGACTTTGAGATGCTGGGAGTGTGGCTATGTTTGGAGTCTTGTGAACCCCTCCTCTAGCCACTCCCTTACTTTTCTCTACAGGTGACCCTGGAAGGCTGACACCTTCCAAAACAAGATTCAGTTTCTGCCTTTTGGGGAGGGTGGGCTAGGTGGCTTCAGGAGAAGCACAAGGGTAAAAAGGAAGGTGGCAAGAGACTGAGGCCAGGGAGAGGCTGAGAAGTGTGATGGTGACACACAGGGACGGGGTGGGGTAGAAACAGAGGAAGAGCTGCCCAGAGAGAGGTGGATGTAGGAGCTTCACTCCGTAAGCATTGCAGAGCCTCTGCAAAGGGTCAGGACCTCGAGGGGGCATCAGTTCAAGGTTTATAGTAAAGAAGAAAGATCCAGAGAGTCAAGACCTACCAGGAAGTTGTTGCTGCCCCAGGACAGTTCTGAGTAGATGCAGAGATGGGGAAGAAGAGGGAGGGCCCCACTCCCCGCCAGTCCTCCCTGAGGCCTGAACCTGTCCAGATAAAGAACAGAGACCGAGGGAAAGGCCCTCCCAAGCTGGGGGCACCCCCATGAATCATTTTCTTAGCATCTCCTAGTGGGATAATGATATGTCTGCCTCTTCCGAATCACTATTTTTGACCCTCAACTAGGCCTAACACCCACAGCAAGAAAGGGTGGACAGACCTGGTATCGTG